AGAGGATCCACGGCGGACTCTGCTGGAGAAAGATGGGATTTTCTCCAGCTCCCAACAGTGTATAAATTCCCCAGTATTCATTGTGAGAAGCCAGTTCTTGTTTGTTATCCTTGTAAGGAGTTGCCTTGATGAATATTTTCTTTTGTGCCCATAATTCTTTATTATTATGTGTTCGGCAGGATTTTTGTTTATATTATTTTTTGAAAAATAAATGGAGACCATTCTTTGTATACCTTTGTCCTTCGCCTTATTCTTCAGTCCCTGACACAGGGCTATTGTTTATATTTGAGAAAGTATATCATTGTGAACCTCACTGGATACACGTTGGTGACTGTAATGCACACTTTAATTTTATACCAACCAGACATTTCAAACCAACCATGACACATGTGACAAAACTTTAGCATTCATATCCTTGCTTCTGTTGAATTTAGCACACCTGCTTACCTGTGCCTGTGTTCCCTTTCAGGAAATCTGTCCCTCACTTTTGTTGCTCACTACCCCCTTTCCTGGAACATCTCTTGTCAAACCTACACTCTACAACACTAATCTCTGATAACCACTACTGCATGATTCTCTCCCTAGATCCCTAGCTCCATTATATCCCTAAATATCCTTGCAGGTGGGCTTGGCAACAACTGTAAGACCAGAAGAATTCTGGACGTCTCCCCTGAAACAAAACAGGTCGAATGTCTGACACTCTTATGTGAACCTTCCCCTGGCTTCCCCACACCCCTGTTTTGGGAGAAACTGTCTTTTGGTCCTAATAAACTGTTTAAATAATTTTTGTCTCTCTGTTGTTTCTGCATGTGGGCCAGATCACTGAAACTGAATATGACAAACGAAAACTCAAGCCAAGCTGACCCAGCAATTCAGTCAGGCAAGAGGTTGCAGATCAGCGAGCCAGATACTCTCCCTTGGAATTGCTCTTTGACTAGAGTTTGCACAGCAAAGCAAACTCTTTTTTCACCAGTGTTCAAAATTAATATATTTTATGGGCCTGAGGCTCTGTTGTCTTTGGAACAACTAATTATATATAAAAAAAATAAAATATTTCCAATCTTAAGCCCATGCAGCATAGATCTAATGAAGAGATGGCTATTTTAAGTGTGTTTAAACTAAAACGATGAGTTCACAGCAGCTGAAAAAGATACAATAAAGAAATCGGGTATTACTTGATGAATTAAGAAAATTCTTGAAATTGTTTAAATCATCCAGAAAACTGTTTGGACAGACAAATATTTACTTAACTTGAAACTCCAGACAGCTAGTGTGTGATGTTTGTCCAAAAGTGTATGCTTATGAACTCTACCTGGGAAATACTTTGCAGCTATTAGATAAACATCAGTTTCTGCTGATACAGCCACACATTTTTGAAACCCAACAAGAAGTGTTTCAGCTGCTCAGTTAAGCATTTCTTTGGAAAATGGGTGTTGTTTAAAACATTGTGGTATATATAAAGCCTGTGACAGAGGCAAAATCAGCAAAGATTCTGACCAGTTTTTCCTGCAGATGTCTCAGATCATGAAGGGCTCCCTGCTCTCCTGCTCAGCAGTTTTGCTTCTTCTCCTGCCCTGGTTTGGTGGTCTGGCAGTGGGTAAGATCAGCAAGGACTTCTCTGAATGTCTTTACTACTTTTACAAGAATATTCCACCAAGAGGTATCATTGGAGCAAATTACCAGCCCATATGCCAAGAATACAATAACATATATCGCTTTGCCACCCTCTATCACAAATGGTATAAGACTCCTCTGTTCTCCGCCTACATTCTGAGTAAAGCGGATGGACCTCGGCCTAGAGTCAACTGGATGTATGAACCACAGGTAAGTAATATTAGTACCACCATGATTAAGACACATATACCTCTATAGGATGTCAGTCCTGAGAAGATATTTCTGTTTGATGAAGATAATTATGAATTCATCCACTTAAGCCACAAACTCTCTTGGAGCAGCTGATCTCAATCCTGACTGCTTCACATTCAGCTGCTCATGCTGTATGGAGCCAACTTACCTTGATGTTTTGTCGTCATGAAGGGTTTCGAATCGCTCTTTGTCTGAGTAGTTATATAGTTATGTTAGTAGTTATACAACACCGATAAAAGACTTCTTTGAGGTCAATTAATGAGATGGCTCTTGCATTTAAAACAAAGGCTCCAGGCAACAATTTCGGAAGTATGTAACTCATCTTAAATCGAAGGGAATCAGTATAATTTAGAAAAGTTAAATGTTGGGAGATGCAGCAGTTTTTTCTCATATTCCAATACAGAGACTTCTTAAAAAGTCTTAACCAGAGGTATAGAAATGCTTCAAAATCAAAGCATTCCTTATACTATGTCTTAATGTAATGTAAAGACAATTTCTACACAGAGGTGGTTAATAATTGAACTTAATTTATATAGTGTTTTTTTTTTTCATTCATACTGACAAGTAAGGGCTTGGTCTACAATGATTTCACATAGGGGTTGCTAAATTGCACATGCAATTTTTTTTTGTATGTGCAATAAATGGGTGTATTATGGGAGAATTACCGATTCCTGCAAAAATGTTAAGACATGCAAACTGTTGATGTTCTGCTGATTAAAGTGAGCAGATTGTGTGTTCTACTGGGAGTTTGAGAGTGTCTGTATATGAAAGGTGAGGTCTAAAGCCATTCAGTTGGAGGTAATGGTAATATTAAATCATATTTACAGGGCTCCTCACAGAAGTGCTACAGTCAAAAGCAAAAAACCAACCAAATAACAAACGTTTGCAATCGCACATCTGTGGCATTGTACCAATGCCTCCTTTATGGCCAGAAGGACTGCAGTAATTTCTGCATGTCAGTTTGAACCTGATTATCAAAAGTGGTAAAAAATATGCAAAAACTGCTGCTGCAGTTCAGTTTCAGAACTAGGGAAAATAAAAGTTTAAATTTACATTTGCCTATCTTCCAACCATAAATACGTGCAGTTTGGTCACAAGAATATGATCTGCATATTGATGAAGGAACTCATTGCAAACCCAATTCACTTTCTGCCTTCTTTGAAGATCTGCTCAAGACCTTAAGATCAGACCCCAAACGTTTTTACAATATAGCCACATTAATGTGCCAACAGGCTCACATTGTTTTGTAACTGGAACCTGGAATAGAATAAACTTCCTGACTGTAGTTTCCCTTCCATATAGGTTTTACTTTATCCAGTAATGGTAGTTTGAAGTAAGGCTACCCTTTTGGGAATATAATTCT